ATGCATGCCTGCATGTATGTATGTATGTAATGCATGTATGCATGTATGCAATGTAATGTAATGTAATGTAATGTATGTAATGTATGCATGCATGTATGTATGTAATGTAATGGAATGTAATGTAATGTAATGTAATGTAATGTAATGTAATGTAATGTAATGTAATGTAATGTGATGTAATGTGATGTAATGTAATGTAATGTAATGTAATGTAATGTAATGTAATGTATGTATGGTGGGTAGGTAGGTAGGTAGGTAGGTAGGTATGTATGCATGCCTGCGTGAATGTGTGTATGTAATGCATGTATGCATGTATGCAATGTAATGTAATGTAATGTATGTAATGTATGTAATGTATGTATGTATGTAATGTAATGTAATGTAATGTAATGTAATGTAAAGTCATGTAATGTAATGTAATGTAATGTGATGTAATTTAAAGTAATGTAATGTGATGTTGTGTAATGTAATGTATGTATGTATGTCTGTATGTCTGTCTGTATGTATGTCTGTATGTATGTATGTATCCTTGCACATCCAAAAACACAGAGTTTTTCCAGATTTTCGGCAAAAGGATGCAGGAAGCCCAAGCCAGCAAAAAAGCCGGCAGGGGGAATCGAGCCTGGGACCCCTGTTTTGCGACAACGGGTCCCCGAAGACTACGTTTAGTGGAACGTCATCAAATTGCCTAGCGCGGTCCTTGGCCCCCCCCACGTATCAGGCGTCGGGTGGGGGGGTGGGGGGTTATCTGGATATCATCTCTTGGGTATCCGACACGCGAGCAGTATCCGCGCCGACATTATGGCGTGTGAATGCTACTGAAAGGATGAAGGGATAACCTAACCCCCATAACCCCACGCCGATAGTGTGCGTAGGTTTTGAAGATCCCTACGTCTGTGTAACATTTGATAATTCCACTAAAACGTAGTCTTTGGGGAACGATGTCGCAAAACAGGGTCCCAGGCTCGATTTCCCCCCCTTGCGGCTGCACAGCAGGTTTCCCTGTCTTTGCCCAGATCTGGGAAACTCAGTGTTTTTGAGATAGTGCGCTCGCGCTGGAAAAACCGTGAAAGACATGAGAGTAACAGGAGCAGAAGTGGGACCATGCATATCCTTCCCCATTGTGTTACATTACATTATGACATTACATTACATCATACATTACATGCGTAAATAAATAAATACGTCGTCTTTGCATTAAATATAATTGCATCGTTGCATTGTTACGTTGTTCGTTGCATTTACGTTCGTTCACGATCCGTTACATTACGTTACGTTAAATTAACAACAACTAACTTCTTCTTTACTGACTGCTTCAGCCCAGCTTTGCTTTAGCTGCGTGCTTGTAAGCGCAAACACAGCAAAACACGCAGGCAAATAATCAAACAAACAAATAATCGTCAAATACGTCATCGTCTTCTGAACATATAAATACATCACATCATTAAATCATCACGATAAATGCGTACGTGCGTACGTCATTGCGTACATGCGTCGTTATCGTACGGTTCTGCGTAAATAAATTGCGTTCACATCGTCGTGCGATACGTTGCGTCGATAAATTACTGCGTAAATAAATGGTAAATCGTCATGCGTACATCCATTCAATCGTGCTGCAACCTCATCATAAATGCATCATCAATACGTTCATCGCCATGCATCATCGATAAATAAATCATCATCATAATATACATGTTTGCTCTTCGTAATAAATACATCTGCTCAGTAAATCGCTCATCATCATCATCATTAAACACTAGCAAGCTACCCAGCCAGCTACCACGATAAGGTACAGAAACGACCACATTGTTCATTACCTGCCCTGCTTAGGACATCTCAGTGACGCGCGAGATGCCGCGCTTCTAAAGGTGACAGCACAAGGCGTGCCAACTTCAGGACCCCCAAACCATTAAATACATCTCATCTCATCATCATGTTTATCTACACATTAAATAATACCATCATTAAATGCCTCGTAAATATTTACATTGTTGATAAATACATCACCACATCATCATCACATGTTTGTCTACGTTACGTCGTTGCATCCGTGCGTGCATGCATAAATGCATTCAATAATACGACCGTTAAACCGTCATTGTCGCTCGCTCATCCATTATCGGCATTATCCCATTGCATCATTACATCACAAACAAATACCTCACGTAGCTCATCGTCATTACATCGTAAATACGCTCATCGTCTCACCTCATCGTACGTCGCCGTGGCTGTCGCGGCGTCGCGTGCGTGCGTGCGCGTACGCGCCCGCTCGCTCGTGCATCGTCGTTCCATCGTCGTACATCTCATCGCTCGCTCATCCGCTCGTACGTCGTTCGCTACGTACGTACATCGTTGTGTGTGGCGTGCTCACTGTCGTCGTACGTGCATGGATTTCGTGCCGTGCGTCGCTCGTACGGCTCACTCCGCGCCGTTGTCGTCGTCGTCGTACGTCGTCGTACACTCGTACGTCGTCGCTCCGCTCGCTCGCTCGCTCGTCGTACGTCGTCGTGCGTTCACGTGCGTCGTCTCATGCGTCGTCGCTCGTGCGCTCCGCTCTCGCTCGCTCCGCTCACGCTCGCGTGGGTTCGCTCCGCGCGACACGCTCGTCGCTACGTCACGCTTCGTCCTTGCGTACGTGCGTGCTCGCGTACGTGCGTGCGCCCGTACGCACGTCGCGCGCGTGCGTACGTCGCATCGTCGTGCGTGCGTGCGCTGCGGTCACGCTGCGCTCGTCGTACGCATATTCGTAAACGCGTACACGTAAGCGCGTCGTATGCACACGCCGTGCATACATACATGCATACGTGCATACATACATGCATGCATGCGCCTAACATGCATGCATACACATACACCATACACACATACGTACATACATACATACATACATACATACATACATACAACATACATACATACATACATACATTACATACATACATACATACATACATACATACATACATACATACATACATACATTACATACATACATACATACATACATACATACATACATTACATACATACGTACATACATACAAACACACAAGGGAGACAAGGAAGAGAGGAAGAAGGAGAAAAGGGAGAGGACAATGTCGGCGGACTGAGCCGGAGGCTCTAAAGTTGGCGGATTTGGTGGTGTTTTTTGTCAGTGCGTGGCCAAGGGAATGCCCTTATGCAAGTGATATGGAGGGCTCAAGCATGTCTAGCTGTCTTCTCATGTGAACATCAGGCAATATTTGCTGCCATATATGACATTGGGCACACTCACCAAAATGCCATTAGGACATAGGGCTTCACCAACTTCCAATGTCAGTAGGGGGCACGGTAGATGTTGACCACGGCTCATGTGATCCTGACTTTCCGTAGCTTCCAAGTGCTTCGCAACCCCATTCGAATGTCTAATGGCCTAGAACAATCTGTTCCATCAGCTTCTTTGGGGCTTCTTTCAGGGTGGCCAAGTGTTGGTTGACGCGTTCTGCCCATTTTTGTTGCTGGTGCAGTCAAAAGTTGGACACTGTGCTCCAGCTGGCTTTGCCCGACCTGCAAAGCTCCTTGCGCGTTCTTTGGGGATGCATGCCCGCAAGGAGCCGTACTGAAGTTTGTGTTTGTTTGGTTTGTATGTTGCTGATAAACAGTCATCAGCCGTCGTAGCCAAACAACATGAAGCAACAAACATCAAAACATCAGGTAGTTTGTTGCAAGCGGATCGGGCGGAGTCCGTGGTTCTGCTTGAGGTGGCGGGGTCCCGGCTTGCATGCGGTGTCATAAACAGTCAGTTCTGAGTAGTCAAATCGGCCGAAAGTGGCGAAAACATATTTATTCCTGGAACCCGATGGTCAGAATGATTTATGCCCATGGTGGTCTAGATACCTATGGAATAAAACGCGTGCTCCCTGTGTTTGCCGGGGGGGGGGGGGCATCGGTTTCTGCCTTTGGGGTTTCCTTCTTGCTGTCCTCACGTCCCTAGTCGTGGGCCACGGGTTTGCTGTGGGATTCCTGGCCATGGCTTCTCGCATTCTGCAAAAGGGGGCCTTCTGGTTCCATGGCAAGGTTGGAGGCCATCCGGAGCAAAAGAAGCACCGTCGTTTTCAGCATGCAAGATATTGGTATTGGGCTCCTAAAGGGGACCACTCTTTGCCTTTGGTGACCTCAAAGGCCCCCTGAAGATTTTTTGGACGTAGATGGCTTTTCCATTATATAAACCTCAAAAGGTTAGACCTTTTGCTGAGGGGGCAAGAGCAACCCACACAGGGGACAATATCGATTCACGGAACCGCTTCGCCTTGCGGCTGTGCTCAGGTCTCTATGCTGGAGCTGCAGAGTCAGGAGACGTTCCAGACCGCCGCAAAGATTCCAGGGATTTGATTGCAGTTGGCCCAAGCCCACTGTTGGCCCTGTTTGGCCTTATTTCGCCTTAGGCCTCAAGGCCCATTAACCCCGAACCCTGGCGGGTTGGTTTTTTGGTGGGGTGTCTCCGGGTGACCCGTGAGGGGTTGGTAAGGGTCCCTCGGTTGGGCCCTTGAAGGACAGAGCAAGTTTGCCTGTACTCCCTGGCAAAAGTTGCCTAAAAAGTGGGTTTTGAAAGGGAACCCCGATCCTAAATACACCAATTGGTGCCCATCAAAACATCAACTATCAAAACCCAATTGCGAGTCGGAGAAAATGCCACCAGACCCCAGCAGCTGAAAAATGTGCTCCGCAGACAAAAAGGGCGCCCAAAAGAGGTTAAATTCACATTTTTTGCGGATCCATTTGGAGACTCCAGGTAGAACCGACTTCCCAACCGGAAGGGGTTCAACCTGGATCCCATCTGACCCCAGCGGTGAGATATCTTGTCAGGAGCTGCCGCCGGAGGCCTGTGCCCTCCTGGCCCCGGCGGCCCTCAAGCTGCGCGCCCAGAGCCTCGGCTTCGGCGCCTCGGCGCTTGAGCGAAGGGGTGGCCCGTGGCTGCGGAGCGAACGAAGAAAGGTGGAGGGAAGCCAAAAAGCCCCCCCCCCGAAGTCCCCCAAACTAACGGCGGAACATCGATTTGTTCCTTCTTCTTCCCGGGGGGGGAGGCGAAAGAAACAAAATTGCACCGAAAACCTTTTTGGGGGTGGTTTGGAAGGAAACCAAAAAGGAAAACGTCAGATTGTTTTGTGGGCCAGCAAGGTTGTCCTATTTTGACGACATCATTTCTGATGTGGTTTTGCGGACGGATCGCAAGTGAGCACGGACCGCTTGTTTGTGGTTGGTTTGGTTGGTTTGGTTTGTTTGTCGGTCTGTCGGTTGGTTTTTGGGTTCGTTGGCCGGTCGGTCGGTCGATTGCTTGCTTGACTTGCTTTCCCCCCAATTTTTCCCCCCAATTGGGTAGTTCAACCCACTTGGCTTGGTCAACTCGCTGGGTTTCGCCCCCCAACAAACCCATCCATTCGCTCGGCCGCGCCAACTCCGCGGCGCCCGGGCGCCTCGACCGTCCCCGAGGCCTCGCCAAGCGCCTCAGCGCGTCGCAGGCGCTCGAAGGCCTAGGCTCGGAGGCTCTGGCGCGGGCGGCGCAGAGTTTGGCGGCGCTGCGCTGCGCCACGCCGCGGCTCATGGAGCTCACGGAGAAGGCGCCGAGCGGCACGGGCTCGGGTGTTGGGGTTGGGGTCTGGGAGGGGGGTGGAAGTGTTGGGAGGGGGGGGGGAGGGGGTTGGGGGATTTGAGTTATTGAAGGTTTCAAGGGTTTTGAAGGAACCGAAAGGAGGCGGGGTTGGAGGGTCGCTTTGTTTTGGATGGGAGGAGGTTTCAATGGTTCTAAGCAAGGTTAAAAAGAGTTTCGGGGCTTGAAGGGCTTGGAGATTACGTAGGTAAGGAGTTTATCCCCGTGCGAAAGCAGTAGGAAGGACCCACGGCGTCACGGTTCCGTCGTTTGCCACCTGCGGATGTGCGCAGACCATGCAGCAGCAGATCCACCTCTGCACTCCCCGGGCGGTTGCGCCTCGGCACTCGACAAAAAAAGATGGACTAACTCCAGGTGGATGGGTTGTGGCAATTTGGGGGGTTGTGTGCTTTGTTATGTTTTGCTTGGATGTTAGGACTCTATCTTTTTGCCAACTAATGGATTTTCCATTAAACCACTAAAAGTTAAACTTGTAGCAGGGGATCAGAAAGCAGCCGACTGTCCAGAACTGTCGATCCATCGGGAACATGGGTTCGTGTTTGGGTTTAAGTCGGTTTGAAGGCCCGGGCCTCCAGTAGAACGCTTTTTCCCCGTGCAGGTGGTTGTGATCTTTTGTTGGAGGGAGTCGGCCCCCTTAAAATCAACCACCCAAACCAGTGCCTTCATGGGGAAGACGCGATTTTGGGGGCACGCCCTTGGACACACCATGGGAATGACGGCGGTGAGTCCTGTGAGGTGAACTTTGCGGCTGCACTGAGTGAGGGCCGCGGGGACAGTGATGCATTCAAAGACTTCCTGATGCCCGCGGCGAGGCGAACTTTTCGATTTCGCGAGTCCATGAGCTGAGCTGGGTGTTTGTATCCCCTAGGGTCACAAGACCTCTTTGAGGTCTTGTGGAGCCAACGGCCCTGAGATTCAATCGGGATCTTTTTGATTCTTAGGTTCTGAGAAGCTTTCTACGGGGGAAGGGGGCCCCAATTGTGTCTCTTCTTATTTCAAATTTCTGGGGAAAGCATCTTTTGTTTGTTGCGAAACATGAACGAAAGGTTCCCCTTCACACTCAACCAACCAGAAAGAAAGGATGGCCGCTTTCTTTACGGAAGTCTACTAGAAGGTCTGGAAGTCTGGAGGTTCTGGTAAACAAGGTTGCTCCTGTTTGTGCCAGTCGGCCCAATCGGTAAGAACCTTGACCCTGACACGAAACCGAAGGACGCCGCTTGCCTTTTGCTCCCAGAATTGGGTAATGTTGACCCCCTGATCAGTACCTCCCCGCATCCATTGAGCCGCGGGGGCCTAGAAGAAAGAATCCCCACCGAAAAGTAACTGCCCTGAATAAGTGAGTGAGTTGTGTCAACAACTGAGGTTGACAATACCCACCAGAAAGCAAGGAGAACTGGTCTAAAGGGCTCTTTGCACCCAGGGGGTGTATTAATCATGGGCCGACAGCAGCTATGAACTTTGCCAACTAAACATGAAGGAGAAAGCAAACAGATAGTGGTTACACCATTTAGTGAGAAATATCATGTTTTCCCCCATGGTCATCCCATTTAAAGGAGCTTTTGATCAACCCCCGCATGTTTAATGAAGGGGTTCGCCCAATTTTGGGGGGCAACTTGGGGTTGTGCCAGGTCCTTTTTGCTGGACTTCAACCCCCGAGACCTTTGCACGCTCGCCGAGTCTTTCGTCAAGGCCCGGAGAGCGAGCGAGCGAAGGAGTTGAGTCCCCGCCCTCTGAGCTCACTTCCCAACTGCCTTTGGTAGGGTGTCTCCGGGTTGCTCCTAAGCATCACCCATACTCCCTGCGTTCCTGGACCTGATACTGTTGAGATGTTCATTCAAGCAGAAAATAGGAATGTTGGATTGGTTCGGCCAATCCACGTACAAGTGCGCAAATGTAGGAAAGGGGTGTCCATTCTCGCACTAGAGGATCCTTCCCCATTCCTCATGCATTTCCCTTGTGTACAAGGGTAACCGTGGGGGGGGGGCTGACTTTTTTGGGGGGGTTGTCTTCCGATTCCAACGAGGCGTTCTTTCGATTTGTATCAACACATTGGGGGGATGCGCAGCCACGCACGGCCTGTTTTCCAGGCCACCTGTGCTGAGCCGGATTTCTTGGCAGACCTGGCGGATAGCCTGCAGCCCAAGGTTCACCAAATGGGTTGCCACGAGGCACTGGGCGGGGTGGTTTGCGGGATTTTGGCGATTGGTGGGCGGGTGGGTCCTGCCTGCCTGCCTGCCTGCCTGCCTGCCTGCCTGCCTGCCTGCCTGCCTGCCTGCCTGCCTGCCTGCCTGCCTGCCTGCCTGCCCATGTTTTGTTTAGTGGGTTTGTTTGCTTGCGGCTTCTTTCTTTGGACCACAGGTCTCTCACAGCTTCCATTCTGGCCCTGGCATCTTTTGGCTGCGCCTCTTGCGGGAGTTGAACGTTTTGAGCCACCCCTTTAAAATAGCTTCCAAGAAAAAGGTGTCCTTTTTATTGACCCACTGGGGGTCTGGCAGTTCCAACGCACAGTCTTGCTAACTTTGGTTGGCCGTGTGTTTTTACATGAGGCCAGTTTTGGCATGCCAGCTTACATGCTCAAGGGGTGTCAAACATAGAGGTTTGGTGTCATGTTTCGTTTGTTTAGTGGGCCTGTGTTTGTCTTTGTTTGAGGCTCGGTGCCCTGGGTGTGTTTTGAATGGACAGCGCGTGCCCGCTCATATTTTGGGGGCTCCCTTGGTTTGAGAACCGGATGTTTGTTTCATCGTCCAACCAGCAAGCTGTCAGGTGTCAGTGGCGTTCCAAGTCTTCGCTCCCGCCGCTCGACAGGGGAAGTAAGGTTCTTCCAGGGGACACCCCTGATCAATGACTGGGGTGTTTATGGGGTCAACAGGGGCTTCCCATTGGGAGGCATATTCTCGTAGAGTCCAGCACTTGTGGCTGCTCCGTGAATCTGCAGGCCAAGCAGAATCTGCCTATTGGCGAGCGATTCCACCGATTCGAATCGGGGTAAAACGAGAGAGCTCACCATTCAAAGTCCTTTGGCTGGGCATCCAAAACCTGATTTTCAGGTTTCGGAATTGTAGTCTCGGCCGGGCACAGGCGGCCCTTTATATAGTCTTTGTGCACTTCAGGATCATCGTTTTGTTTTGCTTGCACCTTGGGACCGGAAAACTCTGTACCTCCAATTTAAAAGCAGACTTCCTCATCCCCATGTGGCGTGTTCACTCAGGAGGCCGACGATTCGGCTGCCAATCCAGACCACATCTGAAAGCTAAACCGAGTCACTGCCAGCATCCGTTGTTGTCTGAAGGTTGACAGGCACCTTTGGTTGGTCGTTTTGATGCTTGCAACGCAATATTTGCATGTCGTCGTCCTTTTGTTTGGCCAAGCAAATTGGCAATGTTCATGTTTTGGGCCTATGCATGCAGTGGCGCATTGGCAGCAGTGTGATCATTGTCCCTTGCTTCGGCTTTATTCCATTGCACTATGCTGTTCCGTTACTAGCAAGCCCATGGCTCGCTGTGTTGGAAGATGTCAAATGGAATCATCTTTTCTCACCATGTACCCCACCAATCAACATGGAACTGACAGGGGGTCTTGGTTTGGACCATTTTCTTTTTAAAGGGACCGGTTCCCGAACGTCGAACGGTTCCGTGCTAAGTGGTGGGAGGGTACCCTCAATGCCATGATACTGTTGATGGACGAAGTCCATTTCGCACCACCTAACAAACCCTATCCTCAGTAAATATCAACAAACAAAGGGTTTCAATCATGGTTTCCATGGTTTCCCATGGTTTCAAAGTGGTGCTTGCCGGATTACGTCCATCCACAGTACCGATTTGCCAGTGCCACCGGGGATGGCGCGAAAGGTCTCCTACGCCGTGCCGCTGCTGCCGGCGGTGGCAGCGCGTGCCAAGGATCTGGTGCCGGAGCTCTCGCCCAAACAGCGCAAGCCTCTGCCGGGAAGAACATGGTTGTGGGTCAAAACCGTTTTGGTACCATTTTGGGGTAGGTGCACCACCCATTTTAGTCTATATGGTGGGGATTGGGATGTTCACTGGGGGTACAGGATTTTGACCCATGGCCACATCCCCCCGGATGGCCAAAAACACATGCTCCCGTCCAGACGCGCCAAATTCACCTAAACCAACCCTAGGCAACCTTAACCCAACCCTAAACCATAAACCAACACTGAACCAACCCCAAGCCAAGACTCAAGCCACCACCCTGAAGCAGCCCTAGACCAAAACCACGGTGGAAAACATCCTCGTTGGGAGAGAAAAGAGTTCCTCGGCAAGAGACACCGCCTAGTGTTCAGCTCAAGAGTTGCATAAGCGCTTAAACAAGTTCAACAAATTGAAGTGGGGTCGGTCTCATTCGGTTGCGACACGTGTCGGAGTCGAGCAAAGGGGATCCCTGCTGGAACCAAAGAAACACCCAATTAGTGGGAATGGGGTTGGGTACTCTCAGGCGAAATTGTCATCATCATGGGAGAGTCATGTTGGCGAGCTGTCGAGCTGGGGAACGAGTGCGCTTGAACTTCTCGCTTGCCCAAAGGAAATCTTGATCTTTGGGTTGTTGAGGGTTGCTTGAATTTGGCCTATTCCTGCTTTAGGTTTTAACAGGCCAACTTTTGTTTTTCCAGGTCCGTTGGGCAATTGGGATTTACATGGGTGTTTTTTGAGGGTGCTTGTATTGTAGGTTAGTTTGAACAAAACGTGTTTGGTTTTGGCTTCTGCTAGTTTAAACTCTAACATGCTGAGTTGCCGTGATGTTGTTTCAGGGAGTTCCCCTGTTGGCGTTAAGAGCTTCCCGCGTGGCCTTTGTGCAGTTTCCCCCGGATGCGTGGGAATCTATCCGGACTGCCCTAGTTTTGCGGAATGTGAATGGAAGGCTCGTCACCTGGCCGTCTGGGAAATCAACTACAGGGTTGGGTTGTTTGACCGCACACTCATACGTGTTGTTGTTGGTTATATATATATATACACATATTTAAACAGACCCATTTTTTTACCACCGTTGAGCACTCATATAGGTCAAAGTGAGAGGTTCTTCAATCCGTTCCTCACCAGCAAATTGAGGGCGCCAGTCCATTGAGAATATCCTGAAGAAAAGAAACAGTTGGGAAACTAGAGCAGTCAATGTTCTGATGACAGTTCACCATCCGCCAGAGCTTTGTTTTCCAGCCCGAGTCGTCATTCCGGGTAGCTCTCTTCCTTTTGCCTGCACAATTCCTTGGCCAGGTTTAGCGCGTTTTCGCCTTGCGTTTCCGCGCCTCGCACCAAACTTCCGGTTCAGCCTTGCGCCATCCCCACTCTTCCAGGAAACGTATTTAAGGGGTGGGGGCCGTACCCGCCCAAAAAATTGGACCATTTCCCCCACTTGGTGGGCGGGGGGGGGGTGCGGGCCTTCACCTCGATTTTCCATGGGGGTCGGAAACCCAGGCTGGCGCACCTCTTGCGGGGCCTCCGGGAAGTCGACTCCAAGGACCCGGAGCTCTTGAGCGCGCTGAAGGCCCGCGCCGGCCAGCTGTCCCACGCCTTCTTCGGCCCGGGTCCCAACTCAGAGACGGAGACGGAGACGGAGCTAGGGGTGGGGGTGGGAGCCATGGGAGGTGAAAAGAGGGGAAAGCCACTTGCCCGGCGGATTCAACTTTTTTTGGGGAAGGGTTCCCCTTTAAACCCAACTAGCCAAAAAGGGAAAACCTTCTTTTTCCGATGCCACTGGGCATCTGAGTTCAAAGAACGGAGGTGATGACACCAATTGACACAACTTGACATTCGGGACCCGGTCCATAGAATGGTCCAAGCCAGGACTCCAGGAACGACAGCTTCCATGTGACGTGTATCCACACTTGCCGTGGGTGGTTTCCTTTCAGCTGAAGGCCAAACCTCAAGAGTAGACGAAACGGACGGTTTCCTTCAGCTTTAACTATCCGTCGATCAATTTGGTTGGCTTGGGAGCGCTCTTCCTCCTGGTCCCGGAAAAGCGAGTTTGTCTTGAACATAGTGGAAGTGGAGCCCCTTTTGGTCGGTATTTAAAGGGCCGTTGCCTGCATCAAAATGAATTCACCCAGCTATGTGCATTGCTGACTACCTGTGGCTACTTGAGCCCAATTGCAAGGAAGCCAATCTCAATTCGTCATGTTGTAGTGAGCATTGCAATTCGGAGAGCATGACTAAAGGCTGGCTTAACACCAGCCCAAACGGGTCCGCGGGGTTGCTTCCCCATTTTTTCCAGCCCTCATTCTTTTGGGAGATGAGCCGCTTTTCCTTCTTTTTTTTTGCGTGGCTTTTGGGTTCAGAAGGACCCGGCTCAGAATGGTTGGACGGGATCACTTCTGACAGAGGCGGCACTTCGATCTGCGCCGAAAGGCATGCGGGAATTTTTGGGCATCCTGCAGCCTTTCGTGGCCGAAAACCACCATGTGGAGCAATGGACGATATTACTGGGGTGCCTATTTTGGGTGGCAGTTTTGGATGGTTACTCTGAGATTCTGGGACTTTTGCCCAGGCACCCACGCGGTGAGCGTTCTGGTGGCCTTTGCAGATGCCGAGCAGGTGGATGCACCCCTAGTCCAGCGGCTGGGCAAGTTTACGTTGGGTTGCGGCCTATTAGCGTACGGGTTCCAGAAAGCAGCCCGTGGAAATTTAGGGTGTGCTGCGATGCTCAGTTTTGAACAAATCCTTGTGCCATAGCGAGCTCGCTGGTGAAAGCGGTCTCATGATGAAGGTCCTTTGGAGATTCTGATCCTGGTTGTCGAATTATTTTGTGCTGACATTGGTGTGCTCCCTTTGAACAAACTCCAATTGAACCCATAGGTCTGAAGGCTGCTCGTGTGATTCTTGATTTGAGACTTGAGACTGGTGACTCTAGAAACCACCCCATGTGTGACCAGGGCACCACTTCTTTTCTAGGCGCATAACGCAACACACAGCTCGACCATTGGATGAAGAGTCGCATCCGGCTTGATCCCAGCCTGCAGGCTGCGGCCTGAAAAGATCCCTGATACATAGATCCGCATCGACTGACACGGCATCCTCCGAGTCGTCACTGCAACGAAGCCAAGGATTGATACCACAATGCAACTATTTCTCTAGACATCTTCTTTAGATTGCACGGTGGCTCCACGCCCCTCTTTCGAACTCAATTTAGAGAAGCTATCGGGCCTGGATGGTTGTTCTTCCGGATCATGTATTTGTGTGCTTCGGATTGCGTCTTGTGCGAGAGCAGCTACTCGTGGCCCGGGAGATCGCCAGAAGCCCCCGTCAGTCACAATCGGTGTGCCCTGGCGACCGTGCTCAAGCTGATGCAAAGACATTCAAGGGGGTGATGTGATTCAGTTCTGTGCTGGGTCAGCCTTTGTGACTATATGAACTTTCCAGGGGTCCTGTAAAAGTTCGCAAAACTCTGAGAGGGGTGCTCAATGGAGGAACAGCTCATTCTCCAGGGTATCGTGTGTGGGGTTGGGCTGACTCTTAGCGTGCGCAGTAGCCATGAGCGATTCCACACTGCGAAAGGCGGATAGAGTCAAGCTGCAGGGCTTGGTCAAAAGGCCAACATTGAATGGTTGGCCAGGTACTGTTCTGGCGTTTCATGAGGGTCGTTACCAGATTCAACTAGACGGCCACGATGTCAAGGATGCAAAACGCATTGCTCCTGGCAATGTTGCCGGATTGCATCACAAGATGCCAGCTGCAACATTCGTGGATATTCCACAAGCATGCACTGGGAGGGTGGATGGTGGCACAGGCATGTTCGGGGTACATGGTCTCACGACATCAAACATCGGCCAATGTGCCATTTGCCTTATCCTCGGTACGTCTCGTGCTTCGATGACCCACGTGGACAACGCCATGAACCTGAACTTCCTTCAGTCTTACTCGAATGAAACGAACACGGAATTCTTTGCGAACCGGAACCGCCTGACTCAGCACTTTCAAGCATGTGGCCTCAAACCAAAATTCAGAAACATTCCCCTTCCAAGCTCTGCAGGGGCTAGCTTTAGGGACTTGAGCGTTGAGTTGCTGGCTGGGGGGCCTTTCAACGGCCCTGCGGTTGCTTGCAATTCTATGCCAAACTTCGTGGTGAAACACCCTCGTGCTGTGACAATCACAGCTGCAACGAAGGTCTGCGACCATTTGAAGCTGCTACGTCTAGGGGACTCGGTATCACATCTAGTCTTCAATTGTTGGCATTGGTGCTGCATCACCGTCACGAATCTCTTGCCAGACAGAGTCCACAGTTTCATACACAGACTTCCCATCACATCTGGCTTGTGCCCCCTGCTTGATTCAGTGCGCCCCCGTTTTTGGAGTCTGTGGGAGGGTTGTTTTGCAGGGCCTATTAAAGGGACACCAATGGGAAACCACCCATTTTGGGGTACCCGGTAGTGCCCACCATTGATCAGGGCTCGGCAATCAGGCAGTGCGCACATCATCAGAGGTCACTGTACCGTCAATACATTTACATTTACCTGTTCAGTTTTCAATCCGGCAACGCGTCAGAGCAGCGGCCGTACTGGTGCATGCGGCATCAACATGTGCAACGTGACATGGCATTTTCCATGACTGTGTCTCATATGGCATTCACTGTGGATGTAGTACCGTGGCAGTTGGAGATTTGCCAAGTAGTACTAGAACCAAGCAGACTTCTTGCAAATGGTCCTCACAGATTTCTGGACTGTTTGGTGGGTTGGTCAATCCCGGTTCCCTTCTTCTACCAAGGTCACTGGGCTGGCTCCAGACCTCAGAAAAGTATTTTGTTCATTTTGTGTTGGAGGTGGATTCCCTTCAAAACCCCTTTCAAAAAGTCAGCCTCTACCCACATCAACCCACTCTGTTTGGAGGGTGCCCCAGAAATCGGTGGGGTCACCGGCTCGCACCCCCCGACAGCGCGAGCCGAGGAGCCTTTCCGAGACCATTCTGCGGCACTTGGATCGGCTCTCCGCTGAGGAGGGCGGGTCGCGCCTGAGAACTCCAGGGCTGTACTTTTGGACCCAAGATCGAGAAAAATCCCAAACAAAATCCCAGAAGCCAATCCCAAACAAAATCCCAGAAGCCAACATCAAGAACAAAACAGAAAAGGGGGGGTGTCCAGTATCAGTATAAGCAACATTGTCCAGATCAAAGAAATATGGCCAAAAGCTTCAGTAGAACTTTGGTTAGGTTTCCTTTGGCTTCCCTATTGACCGACCCTTTTGTCCCCACTACCCAGAAGGTGTCCGCGGACTTGCTTGATTCTTGACCAGATCGATGGTGTGTCGTGGTGTTTTAGTGGTTTCCCGCTGGTGTCCCAGTGGTTTCCCTCGGCGGATTTCCTCTCTGTCGCGTCTTGGAACTTTAGGAATGGCCCGCGCTGCAGTGTCCAGGTGGTGTTTTGGCGGTGTCTTAGCGGTGTCCAGATGGGTGGTGTTTCCGGTGGCATCCCGCTTTTCGTGGTGGTGGTGGTGGTGGTGGTGGTGGTGGTGGTGGTGGTGGTGGTGGTGGTGGTGGTGGTGATAATGGTGGTCTTTTCCCGTTTGTTTTTTTTGCGTGGTATCTCGGCGAATCTCGGCGATGTAAAGGCTGAAGGGGAGAAGGTTGCAGTTTTCACCAGCTTTCATTTGGAGTCTCCATGAGCCTAAGAAAGGCTACTGCACCCATAATTTTTGGGTAGTGACTCAATGACCCCATGAACAAAGGATGCCGTCAGGTATTTTCTGAAGGTTCAATGCACAGCCTCAAGCATGGGGGTTCTGAGGTTTGTCTAAGGCCTCTTGTTATTCGAGCATGGTCTTCACAGGCCTCTTCCAATCAGTTTCCTCTTGCGCTCGTCAGGCCCCCCGCTATCTGGGCCGATTGACCTTTTTGAGTGTCCACGTTGGGCCTTTGACAAACATAGGACCATTTGCTGTAGTGCCAGAGGACTACATCGTGACGCTCACCACTGTGTCGCAAATGCGCCCTGGCTTTTCTGGCTGGCCGCAGTTTTCGAAGGCTCAGATTTTAGCAGCACGGCCACCAGAGCAACCGGCACCGGATGAAAAGGTTGTGGATCTTTCCAGACCATTTTAGCAGCCGAATGAGCTGGGCATCGGTGCGATTGCTTGCACATGTATTTTTTCTTCTGCAGTCACCCCGCAGAGTCCCTGACTCATTCACATTCACATTGCAAATGCTTAGTCGAGGCTTTATCCACATTGCTGGCTGATGCTGTTTTTTTTTTTTTTTCTGCACAACCGTATGGGGTAGTTCTCAGTTGATAGGGGGAGCCAGTGACTAGTGAAATATCAGACAGGCGTGCCATGTCAACTCGGTTTGGATTTGTCTGACTGCTGGCATGGAAAGCACGGTCTAAACTTAGGGAACGCCAAGCAAATCGAATTCAAGCCGGTCTTTCTAAGTCTTTCTTACTGCCGCTGATTTTCCAACAATCCGTTTCTCTATCGCCGTTGTCAACAGAAGGCACGATACACACGGCAAGCTCACCTGGTAAAAGTAGGGATTACATTTCTCAAGACGGCTTGTGACTCGTTCTGCCTATCATCACCTCTTGTTTCAGTCTTTGCTCTTTCTTTCTTTATCCTTTCTTCCTTCTTTCCTTCCTTCTTTCCTTCCTTCTTTGCTTCCTTCTTTGCTTCTTTCTTTTTTGCATTCTTTCTTTCTTTATTTCGATCAAGACAGGAATGGTTGATGCATCGTAGTAGGGAGATAATACATGTACGGATTCCCGCAAAACCCGCATGTTTAGAGGAATCTTCCTTTGAAGGCCTTTTGTGAAGAGACCAGCTGCGTGCCGGCGAGCGCAGGTGCCATGTCACCCTTGCCGCCAGTTGCCTTGACTCAGGCCTCCTGAGATGCGGGCAGTGCTGCCCACGGCACTGGTGGAGGAATTGCTGCAGGCCAGCTGGTGGCAGGAGAAAACTTAGTTGCTGAATACATTTTTAGAATGACATTGTAGTGAGAAACAGAAAGCTCAGACTCTTTCTGGCCAATCCATTCAGGAAGCGAGCAAAACCAGCTCACCATGATGCAGGTCTTGTGAAACCAAATGCGTATTCACATGGGATGCATTGCATGTATTTGGACAAACTATGTTCCGAGCTCATGGGTAAAATGAGCTTCATGATGAAGGTCCCTTTCATCGGGGATTCCTAAAGGGGGTCCCTTTGTGTCCCTTTTGTGGTGTTCACCTCTTTGGGCTCTTCAAGATGAACTTGTGAGACACCGGAACCCGGGAATGGACCCTGTGGGTTCCATGTTTTCGAACGAAAGTAGGAAATCGGTTCTCCTTGTGGCTAAGTCTACCTTGTGGTAGTGAAACACTACAGTGGGCCAGAAACCCTGGTATGAACACCTTGTGGTATGAACTGTGAACTGCTTGTCAGGAGGCAAACGATTCTGCCGCGGGAGAATACCGCAAGAGGGGTTGGTTGCCTTGCGAGCACACTCACTGGGACCTGCTGCAAATGCAGTACACGCGGTGGCAGCGGGCTGTGAAGGGCGAGATTGGGCCGGAGCACTTGCCGGACGGCGGCCCCACGCCGATTCCTGAGGAGGTCACGCGGTGGATCTAAGAAGAAGCCGAAGAAGGAGGCAAAACAGAAGAAGCAGGCAGCCGCGCCGGTTATGGAAACCATGGCCATGGGCTAGTCGGTAACTTCCAATAGCCTTTGACACCAGAGCAGCTTTCCCAAATCGAACCGCACTTCTTTTTGTGTGGGGGGGATACTCCAGCAAAATGTTGCCAGGTCTGGTCAAGGTGATACAGGGTTGGCTTTGTCATTTTGGTGAAACCTGAAGCGGAAGGAGCATGGTCAGTTTGGTTGAAGAAGAGAGGAATAGAGTAGCTTTTTGAGCAAATGTTGGGCAGGTGTTATTCGACACTTCAGCTACATGCGTCGATGAGTAGCACATTAAAGATTGCCAGAACCCTTTCAGAAAGACCACGATCAGGTAGTGCCTGAACTTTCATAATCTTCGAAGGAAGGAAAAAGACAAACTTATGATATTGGGGTAGTAGTACCTCTTCAAATGAAGTAAAGAATCAGTGGTAACCTGTTCGGAGTCACTTGCGACCAAAACGGCAGTCACTTGCAACCATGTTGCGCGGGGCGCTGGATGCCTAGGCCCTCCAGCAGCGGGGCTATGGGCCCTGGCGACTCGAGATGGAGGCGAACGAACCTCGCGGGGAATCGGAATGGCTGTGGGTCAAAAGTAGGGTAACGGGCACCCTGGCAAATGGAAACAATGAAAACCTGTGGTCCAAATCAGGTGGTTTAAGTTTGACCCATACCCAAATCAGGATGGACTTCTTAGAAAGCCACCCTTCTTTTGTCAACGGCTGAGAGTTGAACATGGGTTGAAAGGTGAACATGCTTGAAAGTCGTGAGTTGAACATGGTCGAAAGTTGTCAACATTTGTTTGTGTCTTTTTTTTTCTGCGGGGGTTTATTCTCCTTGGTTCGACTTGGTGGGTGTCCTTTCAAACTCAGCCAACCAAAACATGGTGCCCAACTAACATGGCAAGATTCTAGAAGTCCTTTGTGAAGGGTTGGTCCGAATCTCCACAAAGCATAAGAGGATGTGTCGATTCTGTTTCCAAATCAACATGTTTTGTCACCGAAAGTAAAACAAGGAGCGCTATGAAGTTCCCTTAGTGATGCCTTGGTTCAGGCTGAAAAGTTCAAATTCAGATGAGTTACCTACTTTTGGACACATAGAGGAGGTTCCACCGACTGGCATTTCACAGTAGGTTGCTTTTCATGTGGCTTCTATTTTTGATAGGGAGTCACCTCAAAAGTGGTGGACATAAATCCAAATGTACATGATGTCCACCAAAGGTTTCCCATGCCCATGTTGGCATTGATGCAATTCTGTTGGAGTTTCGCTGACCCCCAGACTTTACTTGTGGACTAGCTCAGACCTTGGCTAAAGGGATGTCCATGATGAATACACCAGGGGCACCAATGGGGGATGGTCAACTACTTGGGTTTTTTGACCATCAAACCATAGGACCCCTTTTCTGGGAACCGCTCTCAGGTCAATCTCAATACATCCTAACATCTGTGGTTTGCGGCAAGGTGTCCGTGCGGCATCGAACACTCCCTTCCATTCGTTTAAGAATGTTTTTTTTTTTCCCCTGTTGGTTCCAAAAGGGATCGATCACTACTGGAAATATTTTCATATTGTTTTTCCCGGGGGCGAACACGCAAATGCTAGTTCAACGTTTGCCCAGACGGTGGTTCACTTGCTGGAAGCCCTGCGGAACCTCCGGATCGAGGACGAGGTGCAAGCACGTCGCACCACCTAAGAAACCCTGAAATGATAATTCCCTTGTAACTACCAACAAACAATGGTTTACCATGGTTTCAAAGTGGTGCAGGAGTTCGTCCATCCACAGTAGGACTTCTGACTTATGGTTTTGGAGCACCAAAAAGCCACCAAGACTTGGGGAGGCGAAGGTTGAAAACCGTGACATGGTATGCTTTTGGCTATCCACTACGGTTACAAGGCTTCCTGAAAGGTGATGGTTGTGCGGGAGAAGCCGACTCTTTCTATTTAGGACCTACCAGAAGTGCTTCTGGGAAACCTTGCCATGGTCATAAGGATATGACTATCCCACTGTGGAAACCCCCCAGTTTCTAGGGGTAATCGTCCCCATGTCCAAGGAATCCGTACCAGAAAGCCACCAAACACAGACAAAATGATCCAGAACTTGACAGCCCCCTGTTCCGGGCAACTGGCGTCAGGGGATCCCTTACTTGGCTTGGTGGTTCCCAGCCATCCGATTCCTTAGCCTTTTGGCGTAGGGTTCAGCGGTAGTTTCCATTTAGCCCACGAAAAATGTTAAACTTTTAGCAAGGGATTTGAGGACCCAGTTGTTTGTTGGTCAATGAAGCATTATTTGCCGCGACTTCCTGCGCTTTTGTGCGCACTCTTTCATTATCTCTTTCAGCCCTTTCGGCACTTTCCAAGTAGGTGGAATTCACAAATGTGAGGGCATCAAAAGCAAATCTTACAGATTTCCATTGGAGGTTTCTTGAGGCCCCCATGATTGACTGAATTTCCTGCTTGAATTCGGCCTGGCAAAACATCTTGAAGCGGTATATCCTTGGCAAGACCCTTGGGATGTACTGGGAGCCTTCATGCCCCCCCCCCCCACCCCAAACAAACAACAACGGCTGGTTACATTTTGGGATAATGACTCATGACCCTAAATTGTTTTTTTTGCCGGCGTTGGCCGGCTCAAGTGCCCTGCATGTACATGAGAGTTGCGAAGGTTGTGCTGCCCAAGACTCCAGAGCTTGCTGTCGCCCTCGTTGTCTTGGGGCCTTGATTCTGGGACCAAGGACTTCGTGTTTTTTCAGGGTATCCTTTTCAGGTTGAACGAAA